TAATTCAGACGGGGGGGGGGGAGGACTGGGCTGGGGTTGCGGTGCGCAGTGGAGAAGATTCCCGGCTCGCTGTGCCTTGGGCCTCGCCCCAGACCCCCGGGCTGCGCGTCGGGGTGGGATTCTGGTGCACCTGTTTCTCTTGGTGTCTCCAGATTTGGGGGACCTATTGGGTGAGCAGAATGGAAAGGGTTCCAACCGGCTGGGTCGCAGCAGGGAGCATTCTCCCCTTAAGAAATACTTAAAAGAGTTTGTCCAAAGTTTAGCTACTCACTCAGTCTGCTTCCCGACGTGGGTTCCTGCCGCCCGGGCTAGGGCTGGTGGATAAATGACGGGTGATGAGGCAGGGGGTCGCGAATTTTCGGAGAACTGCGCCAGCCAAACTTGACCCTGCTAGGCCGCAGGCGCCACAAGGCTGGCTGGGATCCACATCCTGCACTTCCAGAGCCCCAGACCCCGGGCCCGGCCACCGCACTCGGCCAGCGCTCTCCTTTTAACTTCCAGGCATTTTCCCTACGGGAGCAAGGGCGGCCCTGGTCGGGTTGGCGAGGTAGCGCCTCTCCCCAGTCGCGAATTTCGTAATCGGAACCGCGGGGCCCTATTTTCGCCCCGGCCAAGGGAGGCCTGGTTAGGGTGAGATTCGGTGTGCCACAAGCCTGCGGGGCAATTTGAACCAAAAGCCTCGACCTTCCAAAAGGAAGAAACCAAGGCCCTGCTCCTCCTGGGGCAACTTTTGTTTTTGTTTTTGTTTTTTATTTAGGACATTAAAAGTAAATTTCAGAAAAGTCTCCATCTTCACTACATTCCCTGGAGTTGGAGAAAGGAAGGCGTTTTGTATTCTATCTTTTACTTTGTATACTTTTGTAGGGTATTTTTATATCCCTTCCCAAGTAAAACCTCACTCAATGCAATTTCATCCCCTAAATCAGCCTAAATTTGTGGTTTAAGGATGCAAATCCCACACCAAACACAAATCCTGGAAATCCACACCCATTTTCCCCCAACCCTGTGAGCTCAAAAGGCCCTTCCTAATGCTCTTCTCTGGGACTGAAGACTAGGGGAGTTCTTTATTTATTAAAAGCCTTTTGGGTTTTCTCTTTAAATTTGGGCAAATCTGGCTGCACAATTCTCAGACAGTGGGAGGACACCTGGAGCCCAGGGTTGGCCTGGGACTGGGTCTCCAGTGAATCTAATATTTGAAACTGTGAGATTGCTGCTGAAAGGGGGGAAAAGAAGGAGCTCAGGGCCTGCTCCTGGCAAGTGTCCTTGGGCCTGAATCTTTTTTGTTTTGGGGGGCCCACAGGGGCAGATGCACTGGCCTCAGCCTTTTGGCACCCTAGGTAGTGCTAACCAGAAAAACTAAGGTCATTCCGGTCCCCTGTCTCTTTGTTTCTCTTGGCTTCTTAGAGATACTAGCTTATCTGTTGCCCTCTCTGATTCCCTAGATCAGGTCTGAATCCCTGAGCCATAAACCCAGGTCTGGTGCTGCTGTCCCAGGACCCTGGGTCTCAGCACTGCTGGAACATTGACATGCAATGAAGTGACTGGTGGTAATGAAGCTCACACAAATGCAGCGAGGCTGGCTCCAGGGGCTACCCGGCCACTCTCCCAGGCCTTTCATTGGCACCCACACTGCAGGGAGGCGGCACAGAGCTGGCAGGCCTCAATCTGCACGTCAATAGCACCCTCCGCGGGAATACAACAACAGTTTAGCAGGCTGGCCAGTTTGGAGCCAGAGATCTGCGGGGGCACTGGGCAGTGATGACAGGGGAGGAGGGTGGAGTTGGAGAGGATAAAAGGCCTTAAATGCCTTTTTTCAACCCGCAAACAGAAGCAAAAGAAAGCGAAACTTTGAGTTCCCATAGCGTAATGTGGAGGGTATATGGGGCATAAAAATATTGCTCTCAGGACTAGGATTTGACCTATTGGTCACAGTGCACCATGGCTGTGGCTATCATGGGGTCAGTACTCTGGCTCCTGGAGGAGGCTCAGCTCCTGATGTCAACTACTGTGCTGGACGACAGGCCCACAGAGTCTAGCCCTAGAAGTTGACTACTTTCCAGGCAGAGTGGAGTCCAAGCCTCCAGCCCATTTGACTAAGAAACTGCTCCCAATTCATGGGTTGAAGGCTGGTTCAAGGCAGGGTCCAGAGCTTCTGGAGGTCACCTCCCAGCACTGAATTCTCTTGCCTACTCTAGCATTCTTAGTTTCTTTCTTTTTTTTCTCTTTATTTTTTCTTTTCTTTCTTTCTTTTATTTTTTTTTTATTTTTTATTTTTTTGGTAGCAGGGGAGTGGGGGTCTTTGGCTTTGCTTAAGTCTTCTGGTGGGAGAATTGCCCTTCTGTGGGTACCTCCCTCCTCCTGCCTTCCTTCCACCTGTTAGAAAGTGCTTAGATTTCCAACAGCTTCCACCCACATGCAGGATGCACTGTGAAACCTGGGAGGCCTGGATATTTTTTAAAAACAGGCTAAGATGAGTCTGAGGTCTTTGAGGGGAGACCCACTGTTGTTGAAGAGTTTGCAGTATTTAAACTGGAGAAAGACAAACTTTTTTGGAGGATAAGTAGGAAAGCTCAGCCAGAGGAAATACTCTGTATTTGGAATTACCACACTAGGTCTTTTTCTTTTCCTTTCTCACTTTAAAAAAATAGAATAAACAGAAGTGTGTTGAATAAAACAGAAGTGTGTTGGTGGGAAACCCTAATGGAGCGAGCAAGCCCCTGTATGGAGCTGGAGACACTGACCTGGCCAACTTGGAAGCCTTCAGGCTTCCAGGTTCCTTGTCAGCCTGATGGGCACTGTGCTGCCAGTGAGCCCCATATTAGTATCATCAAATCATAAAGGAACTCTTCCTTCTTTAATTAAAAAGGGGAAACTTGGGAAAACTGGAGCCGATTAGCACAGAAAAGAGTTGGTTCCCAATGATTTATTTTGATGCACAAGTGACAAGATACCTAGATTTTCAGGCGCACTCGGGTCTGCATGTCAGCTCAATTCCAGAAGCGGCTGAGTGTCTCCATAGAAGTTCTGTATTCTTGTTCACTTCGAACCCAAGAAACCTTAGCCCAAACACCAAGATGAATTTTCAGTTGGCCTCAGCTTCATACAATCGTAGGAAAGTCACTTAACCCCCGGAGCTGTCGAGTAACCTCTTCAGGGTACAACTTTTATTTTACACGAGGCAATTAAGAGATCGCAAATCCCAGCCCAGCGACTGTAGCCGTTTGGCATCATCTCCAACCTAGGGGAAAGCATAAAGCCAATAAAACTCCCAAGGTGCTGCGGCCCCAGGGGGTAACTGCCTTGAGTCCAGGCGATCTCTCCTTGGGCAAAAATCCTGGAGTGACTTCGCTGGTCTTGATTTGGTGGTTATTTTAATTGCGAAAGGGATAATGATTTCTAATAAAATTGGATGGTGCTGAAAGGGCAGCGGGGATTGTGGTGTTGGCCTGGGTGGGGGTGAGGGTCTTCAAGCCGGTCTTCAGGCCGGGTCACTCGGACCCTCGGTAGTGCCGAGCTTTATGGAAGGTGTTTTTGGCTAGGAGAAAGCAAGCCGAGAGAGAGAGAGAGAGAGAGAGAGAGAGAGAGAGAGAGAGAGAAGGAAATGGGATGAAATTGGTCTGGGGAAGGGACCTTTGGGGCAGGGGAGCGAGGTGGAATCGGGCAAGATTTTCTCGCTAGCATGCAGGCGTGCACTCTTAAGAGCAAGTTCGCAGCTTGCAAAGGCCTTTATACTTGGGTCGGAGCGGCCGGCGGCAGATTGTGGTACTGGCGAGCAATTGGACTATTGTTGATATGCTAATGAGGCGATTAGGCTGTTGGTAAAGAGCTGGAAAAGGGAAAAGTTTCTACCATTAGAGGGAGATCTCCGAGCGCACACGGGAGCTCTTTCCCTTCTCTCCTCCTCCTCCTCCTCCTCCTCTCCTCCTCCTCCTCCTCCTCCTCGCCCTTCTCCTTCTCGCCCTCCTCCTCCTCCTCCTGTGCTCACCGCCGGCAGCCGGCAGCCGGCACTTTGCGCTTACCCAGAGTAGCTCCACTTGGGTGCGAGACCGAGAGGGGCAAATCCATTCACAGCGATCCATGAAAATGCTTTGGAAACTGACGGATAATATCAAGTACGAGGACTGCGAGGTAAGCGCGGTGCTGGCCCACTCATCCCGGCGGCCATCGACTCGGGGCTCGATCCTGCCTCTCCTCTTCCTTTCCTTGCAGCCAGCTGCGACATGCGGGTGGGACAAACTTTCACCAGTGCAGCGCCGGCCCCTCTGATTCTCCCCTAAGACCGCGGAGAAGCTGGGGAAGGAGAGTGTAGACGCTCCTTTCTTTCATTTCCTCATTCAAAACTGTTGTCCCACTTTTCCCCTTCTCTGACCACTTTGAGCTGTGCCTGAGTGGGACGAGCAAGGGTTTTTTTTTTTTTTTAACAATCGCTGGCAACTGGGCACGTGCTGTGTATTCCGCGTGTAGCTCCATCGAGATTCCAGGGATCCAAATCACCAGGAAGAAAAGGGAAAAAGAAAACCCTTTCTCTCTTCAAGTTCCTCTCTGATATTTAATATTAATTCTTTTATTTGTGCATCCAGTTTCTTCTTTCTTCCTTTCTTCTTTCTTTCTTTCTGAGGTTCTCTTTTTGGACTTGGGAGAAGGGACCTCACACTTCGTTCTGAGATGAGTTGCACCTCCCTGTTAGTGGGTTCAGCTTGGGAGCTGTTGGGCTCACTTCTGATTCTCCTGTGTTTCAAAAAGTTCTGAGCAGCTTCTCCCGTTGAGCTATTGGGTGAATACACCCCGTGGTGGTGGCGGTGGTGGGAATGCGGCTGCTTTGAGCGCTGTGGCCTCTGGGTCCGAGAGCAACCACCCCAGCAGCCGCTGGCGTTCAGCTGAGCGACCGTGGGAATCCTGGCGCGTCTGTGGGCCGCCCCAGGTGCGGGGAGCCCGCCGGGCCCACAGAGCGCACCCTTTGGAAAGCATCTTAAAACCTAGGGCTCCAGAGCTTCTTGGGGGCAGCCAGGGAGGCCGGAGAGCGAATGATCCATCTGAGGGAGGCTCTGGGAGTCAGCCTCACCCTCCCTTTCCAAACCCCATTAAATGAACGGATGAGTCCAGGGGAGAGAGTGGGCGTATGAGGCTCGAGGTCGTCCGAATAAATACCTGGCAGCCACAACTTTTGCTATTTCTTTCTCCTTTTTCGTTTGCCTTTTGGCATTTGGAGCTGGGAATGTCAGGCAGAGATGTCTGTACCCGCACAGAGGCGGGAGTCTTGCCTTCACTTGAAATCAGAAACTGAGTATATGCGAACGATGTGTTACCCACTCCCTCCTCCCTTTTCTTTCAGAATGCTATTTTACATCTTTCAGGCTTCCCCTTTTTGCCCCCCCCCCAATCTGGGTGGATGGGGCATGGGGTGACATCCCACGGGTACCAGCGCTTCTCTCGGGACTTCTGTCGCTTATGGGGAGGGACGCAGGGACCCCACGTCAGCCAAGTTGCTTTGTTTTGGGGTGGGGTGGGGGCGTTTGGCGGACGGGTAGGGATGAAACGGAACCCCATATCTTCTGCTAAGACAATCATTTTGTAGTGATCTCAGTTCTAGTCCCGAGGCTGGGGCATTTTACTTTCGTGGAGGCCGAAACCCTGTTCTAGGTGCGGGCTCCCTGGCAGCTCCGCGCGCAGAAGGGACCAGGACCAGGAAGGCGGGAGATGAACTTGCACCCCCAGAGGGACTAAGTGGGGGTGCGTGTGAATGAGGCCAAAAAGGATGAGAAAGGAGAGGGAGAGAAAAACAGCTAAACTCAAGGCTGTTTCAACAACTTTGGTGACTGTGGGCTAGCGCTGGAGCGGGGATTTCGGGTTTCCGAGCCGGCTAGGGGCTGTCTGATTATGCCGGGGCTCTGCAGGGACACGCAGGAGGCAAGGTGCCGCTTGTTCTGACAACCCGGCCGGCAGACAGGCAGCGCGGGGAGAGCTAGCCGT